AGACTCTTCCGATTAAGATACACGGACCCTGTCAAGCTCATTTTCAAAAAGCAAGTGACAAAAGTATATTGACAGGTTTAAAACCATGCTTTCCAGCAGAAATAACGAGGGGAAATCTACTTGTTTGTTAATTGTGTAAAATTTATTTAACACTTAATTGAGATTCTCGGAAGCCAACGAAGCTACTTTCATGTTTTCATGTTATTTGTGTGTATTTAGATGAAGCAGATGATCCTAAACTGGTTGCTTTGGAGAGTTGCTGTAATATGTTTATTCTAGTTACACAAGTTGTTTCTGTGCACTACCTTTGCAATCTTACAAAATTTCTAACACTGTTCAAAAGACACACTAATGTTTCGAAAGGCATCTTGTTTAATTTAGTCCCATTTTAGCACTCCTTTAAAAAGTTTGATTGATGACTCTTGAAATTCAGCCAAGAGTGTTGTGTCAAAAACCTGCTTGAATTTATCTAAAAATTCATAATCGGTGCTGAATCTGAACTTGTTTGCCCAAAGCAACACCGTTCCCGGCTGGCAGAGGTATGCCATGGTGGCAAGCAGCTTGTCCAGGAAGTAATGGTGGTAGACCACATCAGAAGCCAGCAAGTAATCATAGTAACACGTGGACTTGGGGAAGTTCTGTTCCAGGCCCTCTCCCCACACCAGCTCTTTCACTTCAGGCAGATGTGCTGTATGGTTTAGTGTGTTCCTTAAAAGATTGTATTGAAGGTTCCCTAGGACATCAGGCAAATCCGTTGCTGTGACTTGAGCTCCTAAGAGAGAAAGAGGAAACTTGTACGAATTACCTGGAACATTCGGGCAGCCACAGGGTACACATACTCAGGGAGAGATGGAACTGGGCTTCTCACCTTGGCCCTGGACCAGGACCCTTCTCACCTATGTCCATATGGGCTGGATAATTCTGCTGGGGGACCCTGCCCTGTGCCCTGTAAGATGTTTAGCAGGGTCCCTGGTCTCCATCCCCAAGATGCAAGTAGCACCTCCCCACCCAAACCTCAAGTCGTGCTGATCAAAAATGTCCCCTGACACTGCCAAATGTCCTTCATGGGGCAAAAATCACCTTTGGTGAAGAACCATTGAAATAGAATAACATTCCCGTCTTTTAAGAAACTAAGTTAAATGGCAGTGCAGTTTTGAGAGATTTTGGGATAATTAACTAAACATACCGAGATTCTTAGCATTTGATTACTGTCATCATTTATAATGTTTTTCCTTCCCAAACTGTCTTTATCTGAAGATTTTGGTTTTCTCTTACGTGAGGTGTCAGCACCTAGTTTTCTTTCCTAAGGGATGATCTATTTTGAATGACTCTCCCCCCTACTAAATGCATTGAATTAATTTTTAGGCATTTTAATGCTAGTGATAAAGGTTCACAAAATCATAATTCCGGATTGGTTTTGATAGAAGAAGATCTGTAATAGTGTAGGCGGAAGTAGGCCAGACACACCCGCCTCTTGCCCAGCTCGCAGGACTCACAACTGGCATTTTGGGTATAAATCTGTCTTCACCTTGGATTCACTCACTTTTTTTTTTTTTTTTTCCAAAACATTAGTTGATAATAGTTGCACTGAAAAGCAGGGGACAGCATAACAGCTGTTTACAACAGGAATTCAAGAGTCACACCTTCAGAATTTCAACTTTCTCATGTGGTAATAATCAATGGATTGGACAAGTTAACCTCTAAGGCACAGTTATCTTATCTCTGGGGATAACAGCAGTCATTCTAGCCTGGACGTCTGGGTAGATTCAGTGAGTGCGATCACGGCCAAGCACCTAAACCACAGCCCGTCACACAGTAGTAAGTGGTTATTATCACTGTTGTCACCGTAACCATCTTTTGAAACAAGACCAAGAATAGACAGACAAACCTAGAATACTGGCCACGATGGAAACGAGGCCTGGTCCAGCACCGATTTCAAGCATCTTAGCTCCTTGGAGACCAAGTTCCTCTGCGTGTTCCTCCAAATACTGGCACAAAGCCATGGCCTGAAAAACATTCACAGTTGTCACCTGGACACTGGAAACCGGGGACCCTGTTCCCCACCACAAGTTAAATACTCAAAGACATGTTAAAAGAGTTTCAGCTTACTGGGGGCTCACAAGAATCAAAATATACGTGCAACGGAGTGTTTTGACCTCTGGAATATGAATGCTGTAACATGCATCAGAGGAACTGGAGACACAGACTTGTGAAAGCACCTGTACCAGAAGACCCTTGACCAGCCTCCAGGAACAGGAAGGTCAGCTCAGCTCTTCCAGAACCAGGAGATGAGGGGCCGCAGGGCAGCAAGCCCTTGCTTACGTCGTGTCAGGCCTCCACCTGCTGTAAGACTTGTGCTGTAAGCGGCTCCATCCCCTCCCTGCTGACTCCACCAACGTTCAGGTTGCTCTGGACTTTGCCTGCTGCACTGAACAACTGCGTAGGAATTTTTCTTTTAAAGCAGATCATCTAAGAAACACTCGACTGGCCGGGCAGTGCTTCCCAAACCCTAGCGCACATGCAGGTCACCTGGGGCCTGGTGAAAGACGCCCCGGCCGCGTATAATAGGGCTGATGGAGCTCAAGGCTGCATTTCTAACAAGCCACCAGCTGATGCCAGTGCCGCCGGGCCACACTTTGGGCGGGGGGGG